CTTTTCTGCTCGGCGGCGCATGCGTTTAAAAGTTCGCAGCAGGTTCAAGGATGGAGGGTGGCCCGTTTTCAACATGTACCTCTCCCTTGAGCGCCGCGCGCATTCGTGATGAAAAGTTGCAGCTGTATCAGATATTCGTACGGGTGAAGTCTCAGGAATGGCGTTCTCATGCGATTGAGGATTGTCAGGACGCAGCAGTCACGTCGATTCGCGGTGTTGAATTCTTAGGAGCATTCTGGCAAGATCTGGGATTCTCAGGAAACAGCAATCGCGTTGGTTCGCGGCGATGAAGTCCCAGGAACAGTTATTTTTGGCACGATTGAGGATTCTCAGGCGGTTGTCTTCCAACGTGGCTTTCCCGCAATGACCCATGAAGAGTGAGATCAGGGGGCAGGTGTAGCATTACAACATCATTGCTGCGCTTTGGGTTTACAGTGGTCCTCCTCCCCCTCCTCCTTCTCCTCCTTCTCCTCCTCCTACTCCTCATCCTCCTCCTCCCCACAGCGGGTGGACTCCAGCACCGGACCCGCGACGAATCATGTCCCGAACCAATATGTTGCAAGTCCCTTGTGGATTTTGACCCTTCCTCCTCCCCCCTCTTCATCCTCCTCTTGCTCTGCCTCCTGCCCCTGCTCCTCTTGCTTTGCCGCCTTGTCCCCTTCCTCCTCTCTCCTCCTCCCTTGTATTATGCCTCCTCCTCCTCCTCCCTCATCCTCCGCTTCTTCCTCCTCCTCCTCCTCCTCCTCCTCCCTCCCTCCTCCTCTTCCTCCTCTTCCTCCTCCTCCTCCTCTTCTTCCTCCGTAGCCATTTTGGCTCAAGAGCATCGTGGCGCGGGGTGTCCCCACCACACAAGGATACCGCTAGTCCGCGGCAGTCAGAGAGCTTGCTGTCGGCAAACTTTTCGTGAGCTCTTGCAGGAGCTGCAGTCATGACCAGGTTGCATGGCAGCGGCAGCTTCACGGTGTGCGGAGCCTGCCGGTACTGGGATTGGAGCAACCGTTTTTGGAAGCAGAAGGGCTACTGCAGGTGCGGCAGCTGGGTCGGTTTGCATGGCCGCAAGCAGCAGCAGCAGCCGTCGCCATGGTGGTCGTCGCAGGAGCAGGTGGTTTCGAGCATCCAGAAGCTGGTCGCTCCAGCAGCACTTCGCCAGCCGCCCTCCCCCGCCGACGTTCGCTGCCAAGGCCGAATCGCTGGCGGCAGTAGCGGCTCAAGGCGGCCTCCTTTAAGCAGAAGCAGGTTGGCAAGAAGGTCGAGCGCTGCTGCTGGGAGCTGGCGACGGCGAGCACAGGGCCCAGGAGGTGCAGGCGCGCTTCGACGCCCACACGGAGGAACATTTCCAGGCGACGATGAATCATGAGGCGGCGGTCGCGGCTGTGGCAGGTAAGGACGGCTCTTCCACGCACGCACTGTCCGAGCGCTTCGCCTTCAACCTGGACCCGTCCCTCTTCGCCGACATGTGCGACGCCGACGAGGACTACATGCCTGCTGCGGAGGCGCTCCAGTCAGCCAGGCGCCTGTGGTTGGAGGAGCAGGAAGAGGCTTACAACGCGCTCGCGGAGCGTGCCGAGCTGCGCGAGAGGGCGCGGCTGGAGGAGGAGGCCAAGTTCATTCAGGCACAGAAGGAGGCCACCCGCAACCAGAGCGTGGAGGCAGCGCGGCTCTCCCGCATGCAGCAGGACCTCCAGGCCAAGGCGAAGCTCAGGCAGGCCGCCAAGAAGAGGAGGTCGGCTGAATGAGCGGTGGTGGGCGGTGCCGCCCACCTCTGTGGCCTCTGAGGCTGACGGCGCGGATGCCGACGCGAACATGGGCCCCAAGGGCGTCGGCGGTCCCGCTGCGGAGGCGCCCGTGCACCTCGCGCACATTGAATCCGCGCGTGAGAAGGCCGCCAAGGACCATGCTGAGCAGCTCGCGGTCAAGGCCAGCACCAAGGCTGATGCTGCTGCTGGTTATGCCGATCCTGCTGCTGCTGCCGAGGGCGGCAGCGAGATCAAGCCGAAGTCCCGAGTTTGACCTGCGCGTGGCGCGGGCCCCAGGGGAGGCAGCATTGGCGCCGGAGCCGCTGTCCAAGGAGGTGAAGGCCCGAGGGCCCCCCCGTCTCGGGCCCAAGGGACCCCCGGCGTTTTTTGCGAACGCGGAGCGCTGGGGGCCAGGTACTTCGGTGAGCATGGATGCAGTGTGGGATGTTGTTACGCTCGGGCTGGCGGACGTCTGGCGCCGCTGCGGAGAGCTCGGCAAAATCGAGCGCGGGCGCGAGAGGGGGTGAGCTGATCGCTGCCAGATGCGATATGGCGACCTCCTCGCTCAGCCAATTGGCAGCTGCCGCCCAGCGAGGCCTCCCAGAGGCGAGGCTCGACGGGTTCGCGCCGCTGACGCTGCGTCTCAAGCAAAGCAATCTTGCGGTTGTGGCGGCGCGTTTTTCCTCGGTTGCGGCATGGGCGGAGCCGGCCGACGCAGGTTCCAGTCGTCGGCCGTTTTCTTCGTTGGCCTGGCGGGCCCGCGGGTCGCGCTGGCCGACTGGAACGCCGCGCTTGAGGAGCTCGCGCGCACGGGGTTCCCGCGCAAGGTGCTGGGCGAGCTGCTGCTGCTGCCCCCCTGACCCGGAGACCGCTTGCTTCGAGGGCAGCGGCAGGCTCATCGACTACGGCTTGCGCTCGCACGGCGCGAGCGATCTGGTCGAGCTGGGGACGGTGCTGGACGTGCCCTGACAGGTGCACGCGGGGGCGCGGCTGTGGGCGGCCAGAGACGGGCGTCGTCGGGCGCGTCGGCGGCTGGTCGCCCCGCTGGCGTTCCCGACGCCGCCGAGGCCCAGCCAGGGGCCCGACCCAGAGTCGAAGGCCAGCAAGCGGGCCGCAAGCGGCACGCTACCGTTCTGGCTCGGCGCCGCGACGCGCTGGCAGCGCACCTGCAGGCCGACTTCGCGGCGATGCAGTCCGAAACGAACGCGGCGCTGCTGGCTGCTCGCGCGGAAGCCGAGGCCCGCGAGGCGGCGGGGCTGGGCGACTTGCGGCCCCGGCGTGGAGTTCTTCGGCGGCGGCGAGCTGGGCGGCGCCGCGGGCGCCAAGCCTCCGGGCCCCGGAATGGCCTGGCAGGAGGCGGATGGCGCTGGCGGCTGGCCTGGCGCGGGGTGGCCGCAGGGCGCCGCCCCCCAAGGCCCATGCCGTGGGATAGACAGTGGGCCGGAGCCTGTGATAAATTGATATTGCGGCGGCGACCGACGCGCGACGACGGCGCCTTCCTCCAGCCTGGAGGTTGGCGCCCAGGCCCAGGGAGGGCATCGATCGCGAGGCGCGCTTCGGGGAGCTCGGGGCGGGCGCGCGCTGAGGACGGCGCCCGTGCTGCGGCGGCCTGGGAGGACTGCGGGCCTGGCGAGGATTTCTTTGGCGTGGGCATGGGCGCGCTGGGCCTCGCGCGGGCTCCCAGCCTGCCTCGCCCTGCCGGGGCGGGGTCGCGGGCCGCTGGCGCTGACGCGGGCGCGGGCCGCGGGCGCGGCCTGGGGGGGCCGCGGGCTGCCGCCCCCCAAGGCGCAAGTCGTGGGTCTGACAGTTGGCCGCAAATTGCGACGAATTGCGGCGTCGGGCGGCATGTGGGCGCCGACTTTCAGCGCATTCGATCCCGCTGCGTGCGCGCTGTTGTCCTTGGCGGCGGTCAGGCCCCCCGAGGAGACAGCCCGTGGGGGGTCGCCTGAATGTTTCGCGCCGTCTGAGTCTTGGCGTTCTGCGAGGTCGGGCCCCGCGCAGACTGACGTCTGGAGCGTGACCATGGAGCGGCTGGGTGCGCGTCGCCTTGTGTGCATGGCAGGCGGTGGTGAGTCCGTCACCAGCGCGAGCTATGCCAACTGGGCCTCCAAGGCCGAGGAGGTGCTCCTGGAGGCCAGCAAGGTGCCTGGCGGTGAGGTGAGCATAGTCGGCATCGTGGTCGCGCTGCCGCTGGCCCCCGCCCAAGCCATCACCGGGCCCCGCGCGTCTGCGACATCAGACGGCTGAGCGCTGGGCGGCGGCGTCAGCAGTGCCGAAGCAGATTATGCGCATCCGTCGGAAGAGCACTGTTGGCAGGGGACAGCTAGACCGCTGTCTGGAGGTGCTGCTGCGTGAGGCGGCCAACATCATGATGGGCGCGGCTAGCCACCTTCCTCCATTTGTAGGGCCTGAAGTTCGGCACGCATGGGATGCCATGGCCAACGGCGCCCTGGATATTCCCGCCGAGGAGCTGGGCGCCATGGTGACTGTGGCGGAGCGCCTCGCCACCGCTGCGCAGGCGCGCGCCGCGGGCCAGCACGGCCGTGAGTTCGCGGCGTGGGCGCGCAAGATGTGGAAGGAGAAGCCTGGCACCCTCCGCAGGTGGGCGCGTGCTCCCGCGCTTTTGACGCAGGGGCTGGTGGTGGACGGCGTGCCCGTGACGGTGCCGGGCCAGGTGGTGAGCCAGAAGACCACTCGCCGGGGCGGCCTGCGGCGCGCTCCCTCGGAATCCTGGCCTGACCTCACGGCGGCCCTCCAGGGGGCCAGGCGTCGGGCCAGGGCCAGGGAGTCCCCGCTGGAGCTGCTCGAGCGCAGCAGCATCGGCCTGGCCGCTCGGGCTCAGGGTTCCAGGAAGGCGAGGGGCGTCGACGGCCTCGGCTCGGACGACCTGTAGAGGCTACCGCTCGAGGGCCGCGAGGAGCTGCGGTCCCTGCTGGCACGCCGCGAGGAGAAGTGCTGCCGGCCACAGCAGCTGCTGGGAGTCATCGGCGGTGCGCCCCCCAAGAAGGCCGTCGGCCTCCTGCCGCTGGCGCCGAAGACTTGGTCCCGCGCGCACTCTTGGGCCACCTCGGCTTGGACTGAGGAGCTGGGCGCTTTCTGGGACACTGCTGTCTGTGGCTCCAGCGCGCTGCGAGCGGCGCTGGTGCGCAGCCTCCTCGACGAGACGGGCATCGAGCTGGAGGTGGCGGCCGCTGCCCTCCGGCTGGTCGTGGAGACCTTCTGCGACACGGTGCCCCTGCTGATGGCCATCGCGGAGCGCCTGAGGTACCCTGCAGCGGTGGTGTGCAGCTGTTCCTGGCTCCGCGCTACCTGAAGGACAGCCAGCACGTGTACTCCATGCAGGTGGAGGTGACCCGCTCCGTCGTGGCGGGGTCGGCGCATGGGGTGTCCTTCGGCAAGCTGTACATCCGCCCGCCCCTACAGCAAGCTCATGTGATGTGCCCGCGCGCTGGCCTCTGGAGCTTCACCGATGACGCCGTCACCCGCTGCGAGGGGTCGGCCACTGCCGCGGAGGAGGGCCTTCCCCGCATGGCCAAGGTGCTCAAGGATGGCATGAGCGCGCAGGAGCTCATCTGCTCGTGCAAGACGGTGCTCGCGGCTTCCAACAGCGAGCCGGCAGCCAGCTTGTCGGACAGTCCCGCGGCCATGGGCACTCCGCATCCGGCGTCGGACAATGCGGTGGACCTCGGCATCGACACCGCCTCGGGCCGCTGCAGGGTGCGCACCAAGGCGTCGGCTCGCATCGCTGCTGCAGCACGACGTTGGAGGCGCATCATGAAGCTGCGACGGGCCACTGCCAGACCCACAGAGTGTCGAGGTCTGTGGGCGACGGGCACGCTGCCGCAGTCGGTCTACGGCCACCAGGTCAGCGGTGCTCCGCCTGGTCTGGTACCGCAGCTACGACGACGGGCTGGTCATGCTGTGGCCGGTGCTGCCCGCGGACGGTGCCTGGCGTCCGTGCTGGCGGCCGCGGTCGGGCTGCACGACCCCCGCATTGCCTTGCGGGTGCAGCTGGTGGCGTCGTGGCGCAGCCTCTGGTTCTCCGACGCGTCGTTGCGCGGCCGCATCAAGCGGCCCTGGCCCAGGACCCTCGGCGCCCCTCGGCGCGCTGGCAAGTGGCGCTGGAGGCGGGTCCGCGGCCCCATGGGCGCGTTGCAGGCGACGTTGCTGGACGTGGGCTGGGACCCGCGCGCGGCCGCGGGCTGGGGGCGCCCGACTGCGGAGGGCGTTGACGATTTGAGGCTGCTGGGCGCCGCGGACGACAGCTCCCGCGCGTGCGCCGGATTCGGCGGGGTGTCTCTCACCACCCACCAAACCACCCCAACCCAACCCGAAGGCTCAGATTTACCCTCGATTTCCAGTGGGGGGGGGTCGGGAAACCTTGAAAAAACACATGTAGAACCATTACTCCCCCCAACCCGAAATTCGGGTCTTCGGGTTGGGTTGGGGTGGTCTGGTAGGTAGTCAGTTCCAGTACTTCGAGGAGGACCTCGGGCACCAGCCGCGGCGGTCTGCGGCGTCGCACCTGCACGGGGGCGGCCTCGTCGGTGGCGCTGACGTTCTGCACGTCGGCCGCGAGCTCAGAGGAGGAGGAGGAGGAGGAGGAGGAGGAGGAGGAGGAGGAGGAGGAGGAGGAGGAGGAGGAGGAGGAGGAGGGGAAGCTGGAGCGCGAGGCCCGGCGCGCGGAGTGGGGCCTCACCCTCACTGTTTGTCTTTGGCGGCCAGCGGGCGAGATCCCGACGCGCTGCTGCTGACTATGTGCTCGAGCAGGAGGGCCGCGCGCGGTGCGGTTGCGCGGACGAGGCACTGGTGCGCAGGATCTGGCAGTGTCCTGCGAACGTGGGCGAGGAGTTCGAGTCCACGGCTGCCCATGTGCCTCGGGCGTTCGCTGGACACGAGGCGTTGCCTGCCATGCGCTTGCGCGGGGCGCCTGCCTCATGCGCAACCACTCCTGTCTTTTGCGACCAGAGAGCGAAGCAGGCCGCGGTGTCCCTCGGCGCGGACAGCGCCCTGGAGTCGACGAGGCGTGACGACGGTTTCGCGGTGGTCTGCGGCGACGGCTCCGTTGGGAAGTGCTCCGACGACCCGAGGCGCAGGCGCAGCGCCACCATCATTGCGGCCATGGGCCAGGACGAGGACGGGCTGTGGACCGACCTGCGCTTGTTTCGTGCTGTGCCCGCCCCTGGCAGATGGCAGACGGTGCCGCGCGCGGAGATCCTCGGCTTCGCGCTGGCGCTGGAGTCCGTCGGAGGCAACGTCGGGTACGTGACTGACCACGAGCCCCTCTGGCGGTGCTGGGAACAGAGCATGTCGTCCGTGCTGCCTGGCGGTGCCCACGAGGACCTCTGGTTCACGTGCGCGCCAAGCGCGGCTGGGCGGGCCTCCCGGCGCGGTCGAGGTGGCCTGGGCCCCCGTGCACGCGGACGAGGAGGAGCACATGCGGCTGCCGAGGTCGGAGGCGGACCTCGAGCGGGCGCTGGGCAGTGCCGCTGCAGATGCGCTCGCGGGCGCGACGGCTGCGGCCTGCCGGCGCCCGGGGGCTCGTGGGGACGGAGCCGCGCACCGACGCGGTCGACGCCGAGGCTCGCGCGGTCCGCGGACGGGCCTGCAGGGCCCTGGTGCTCGCGGCTGAGGCTGATCAGCTGCGTGGAAGTCGATGCCCACTCGCTCTGCTCGACCGAGGAGGAGGAGGAGGAGGAGGAGGAGGAGGAGGCGGAGGAGGAGGAGGCGGAGGAGGAGGAGGAGGAGGAGGAGGAGGAGGAGGAGGAGGAGGCGTCGGCCCCCTCGCTCTGCTGCCGCCGCTGCCTGCGCCACCTCGTCGCACGAGCCGCAGCAGTGTGGGTCGGAGCGCTGGGTCCGCACCAGCTGCCCGTGCGTGGTCGGCCAGAGCCAGCTGCTCTGTTCTGCGGCCACCGCATGCGCGTGCAGGCCCCCCGCCGTCGGAAAGGGGACGACGGCCGAGGCGTGGGGCGGATCGCCCGTGCCTGTGGCCGCGAGCGTGCTGCAGAAAGCTGGGAGAGGTGCCCTGAACCTCCACCCCTCCCATGTCCTGCATGCCGCCCCTTCGTTCTGCATCACATATTGTGCCAGGTGTGGCTTCTATACCCCGATCGCGAACTGGGGCGATGCACACTTCCTTCGTCTGCCGTGGCGAGGTGCGAATCGAGGTGGCAAGGAGAATCTCAGTCGAATTCGGAGGAGCTTGCATCCTCGTCGGCAAGGCCCGCCCCGAGGGACCCTCCGTGTCCAGGAAGCCCGCCTCGCTGCTGCAGCAAACTGCGAGCAGGCGACGGAGGGTGCTGTCGAAACTCTCGAACCGAGCCCGAGCCTGCACCAGTCCCCAGGAAGGCCGCGCAGCTAGGGCGGTTGGGGCGAGGGCCTGGGCCACGCTGGGGCTTCGGTGCCTGCGTGGTGCTCGTTCCCCCGTCTGGGGTGCGTGATCCGACTGGGCCTCTGGTTACATTAAACGTTCCTAGACGTTCCTCCTCCACCTCCTCCTCCTCCTCCTCCTCCTCCCTTCCTCCTTTCCTCCTTTCCTCCCTCCCTCCCTCCCTCCCTCCCTCCTCTCCTCCCCCTCCTCATCCTCGCCCTCCCCCTCCTCGCTCTCCCTCCCCCCCACCCGCTCGAGGCTGAGGCGCCCGCCGCCGCCGGCGAGGAACCCGCGGCCGCGCCCGGCCAGCCGAGCGCCGGGGGCGGCACTGCCAAGGCCGCGCCGGGGCCGCCGCGGCGCGTTGCCGATGATCGCGGTGGCGGTGGCCTCCCCCTCTTCCTTTTCCTCCTCGTCCTCCTCCTCCTCCTCCTCCTCCTCCTCTTCATCATCCGCCTCCTCCTCCTCATCCTCCTCCTCCTCGTCCTCCTCCTCCTCGACCCTCGACCTCCTCCCGCCCTGTCCTCGACCTCCTCCTCCTCCTCGACCTCCGCCTCGACCTCCGCCTCGAGCCCCGCCTCGACCTCCGCCTCGACCTCCGCCTCGACCTCCCGAGGCCTCCAGGGGGCGGGGCGGGGGCGGGGGCGGGGGCCTCCTCCTCCTCCTCCTCCTCCTCCTCCTCCTCCTCCTCTTCGTGCTTCTCCTCCTCCTCCTCCTCCTCCTCCTCCTCCTCCTCCTCCTCCTCCTCCTCTTCCTCCTCCTCCTCCTCCTCCACCCTCTTTCTTCATGAATAATTTCTCCCTGCCGCACCCCGAGGCCAGTTTTAGGGCGGGTCGGGCGTTTTGCTTGAGACTTCCTCACCATCTACGACTCTGAAGCTTAAACATTGGCAACAGCTTCACAGATGGAGGGCGGTTGGTTTTCAACATGTGTCTCTCGCTTTAGCGCCGCGCACATTCGTTTTGGACATTTGCAAGAGCTTCACGGATTGAGGATCACCCGTTGTCAAAATGTGGCTCTCGCCTTAGCGCCGCGCGCATTCGCTAAAAAATCGCAAGAGCTTCACGGATTGAGGATAACCCGTTTCCAAAATGTTGCTCTCGCCTTAGCGCCGCGCGCACTCGTTCTAACAAATTGCAAGAGCTTCACGGATTGAGGGTGGTTCCTTTTCAACATGTGGTTCTCGCTTTAGCGCCGCGCACATTTGTTCTAACATTTGCAAGAGTTTCACGGATGCCCACGACCAACGTACCAGAGATGGTGTCTTGGGAGGATTCAGGAGTTTGCGGGTGCAACAGTTCTGATGATTCGCGGAGCTGAAATCCCAAAAATGGCGTTCTGGCACGGTCCAGGATCGTCAAGACGCAACAGTCAGGTTGATCCGTGGCATTGGACTCCCGAGAACAACGTTTCGGTATGCTTCCGGGTCGTTAAACGGTTGTCTTCCAACGAGGCAGATCCTTCAGAGGGAGCTTGGAGGGAGGGTGTATTCCAGCATCGTTGATGGTTCCTAGGTTTACACTGGTCCTCCTCCTCCTGCTCCTCCTCCTCCTCCCAGACTCCCAGGCATGCTCGCGTCGTGGAGAAATCACGGCAGGAGGTTTTTGGTGATTTCCGGCCTATGGGAGCTGTCGCCAGCCCTTGGGACCGTCAAGAGACGACTCGGGATGAAAAATTGGCCCCAGGGAAAGGGTCGGGCTTTCCGGGGGTCGCGTATTGAAAACATCTGGACGTCGCATGTCTGGGCTCGGTCCTACTCTCCCCCACCCTCCAGGCTTTCCCCTGCCTCATCTCAGCCATAGGCGTGTGACTTCTTCAACATCGGCCTCCCAGCCCGCGAGGCGTACGCGGCTGTGAATGCGTAGGACGAGGCCGAGGTGATGGTGGTGATCGTGGTGATGGTGGTGGTGCCGGTGATGGTGGTGATGGTGGTGGTGGTGACGGTCATCGATGATCCTGATGGTGGTGATGATGGTGATGGTGATGGTGGTGGTGATGGCGATGATGATGGTGGTGGTGGTTGTGATGGTAATGGTAATGGTAGTGGACAAGGGCTAGACAGGCTTATGTTGCCAAAGCCACCTGCCGACGGACCTGAAGGAATTACAGAGGGCGGTGCGCTGGTTGCGCGTCTGCCTGTTTACGGGGCCCGCGACGTGGGCCGAGGCTTGCGGAAGAAGGCTCGGGCACGTTTCAAGGCACACGGATTACGCGAGATTGATCATGCCCGCTCTCTTCAGCATGCTCAGCCGTACGAACGAGATTGGGCGCATGCTTGGTACTCACGTAAAAGGTATCTTCTGGTCAGCAGATGAGGAGAGTCATAATATCTTCGATGTGGTGTTTGCAGAGGTCGACATCCGAGAGGTCAAGTCTGGCAATTCTAGACGCTTCGCGTAACCCCACCAGGTCCGTAGCCTTGGCTCAAGCTTGGCTCGAGCGATCTTGACCTAAGGTATTTACAGTGCGGCTCAAGCCGCGGTGCCGTGTCTTCTCGGATGCTGGGCATCGGCCGAGGGTCTCGAGAAGCCGTTATTTCCCTCGAAGCGTCGATCGAGAACTGCGGTCGGACAAAACAATGGAGCGTAGCACTGCGGTTGCTCCGCGAAGGACTTCGATTAGGTGTGCAACTTGTCCCAGGCCGCTACATTGCGATTGCCAGCGCATGCAGAAAAGGCGGGCAATGGCAACACGCGCTTTCAGTGCTCAGTGACATGTGGAAGGCGAAGCTGGAGCCCAACGTCATCAGCTACAGCGTTGGGATCAGCGCGTGCGAGAAGGGCGGGCAGTGGCAGCCAGCGCTGGCACTGCTGAGCGAGATGCAGGAGGCGAAGCTGGAGCCCGACGTCATCAGCTACAACGTTGGGATCAGCGCCTGCGAGAAGGGCCAGCAGTGGCAGCGGGCGCTTGCGCTGCTGAGCGAGATGTGGGAGGCGAAGCTGGAGCCCAACGTCGTCTGTACTACAATTCCGGGCGAAGCGCGCGCGAGAAGGTCAGGCAGTGGCAGCGCCTCAGGCCGCCCAGAGCTCGCGGGCCGCCCGGAGAGCCTCCGGGCCGCTGCCCGACGGGCCCGGGAGGCCCCCGGACCGCTGGCGGACTGATCCAGGATTCCCAGATCGCCCCAAGACGGCCTCAGGAGGTCCCGAAGACGGCCCAAGACGGTCCAAGAGTGGATCCGAGACGCTCAAGATGGCTTCAAGACGCCTTCAAGACGGCGCGAGACGCTTCCACGAGGCCCCCAGAGCGCTCGAAGTGTACCTCCAAGAGGGGCCGCAGAAGCCAAAATCGTTGATTTTCTTGTTTTTTCGATGTTTCTGGCCTTCTCGCTTTTTCGGCTTTCCGACGCTCCAAGACCGCCCAAGAGGCCCCCAAGACCGTTCCAAGACGGCCCAAGAGGCCTTCAAGACGGCCCAAGACGGCCCAAGAGGGCCCCAAGACGGCCCAGGAGTCGCCCAAGACAGCCCAAGAGGGCCCAAAGAAGGCCCCAAGAGAGGCCCCAGACAGGAACCGAAAAATTGAGGCCTCCACCCCAAGAGGCCCCCAGGAAGCCCCAAGACGCCCCAAAGAAACGCCGTGACGCTCCCAAGACATCCCCAGGAGGCCCCAGGACGCCCCACAGAGGCTCCAAGAGGCCCCCCAAAGGCCGCCAAGCGCCCCAAAAGGCCTCCAAGAGGCCCCAAAAGAGGGCCCAAGAGGCCCCAAGACGCCCCCAAACTGCTACCAAGAAGCCCCCAAACTGTCTCCCAGAGGCTCCCGAGAGGCCAACCACGAGATCCTAACCAGCATCCGCGAGATCTCAGGCCCTCGGCGAGATTGCCCGCAGGCCACTACAGCCGGTTCGGGGACCCTACGTATACCAGTACCAGCATCCTTGGCTGCACCGGGGGCCTCACCGCTGCTCTCTCGGTTCTGCTGGCTTCGACCTGCCAGAGCTCTGAGCCGCTCCCCGACGCCCCCAGGACGCCCCTGGAGCGCTCCCCGACGGCTCCCGGACCCCCACATCGCTCCAAGACGGCCCCAAAGACGTCCAAGAGAGCCGAAGCCGATCCGGCCAGAGCCCCACGACGGCCTCGAAATGCCCCAGAGACGTTCCTCGAGGGCCCCGTGGACCATGCCTTGAGTTTGGGGTGATCGCGCACAGTCCCAGCGCGATTAGCAAAAACCCATTCCTTTTCACGCTTCCAGATCAGTGCCCCCGCGGCTCCCCGACTGCTTTCTGAGATCGCCCCTGGACGTGGCCCCTTACACGTCGGCCCCACGCGTGGCCTCCAAACGGGACCCCCAAAGGCGGCCCCCACACAAAGCCTTTGAAGGTCGCCCCTACCGCCTCAGTAAGCGTGGCCCTTGAATGTTAACCCCACGCGTAGCCCCCAGGCGCCCCCAAACGTGGCCCCAAGACACACAGCCCCCAACCATTGCCCTCAAACGTGACCGTCACATCTGCCCCCGAACCCCGCACCCTCAAACGCGACCGTCACATGTGCCCCCGAACCCCGCACGCGGCCCCCAAACATGGCCCCCGGCAGGGCTGCGAACGTTGCCCCCAATCATGACCCCCTGACGAGACCCCCCAACGTGGCCCTCAAACGAGGCCCCCCAACGTAACGCCCAACTCTGGCCCCCACGCGTCCACCCCCCACATCGAACTTCTCGCGCACAGGGACTCTGTAAGATCGTTCGGGCCCCCTTACTCTGATTGTGTCTGAAAACCTACGTGTTTCTGCTAATCGCGCCCAGGCCTTGCGCGATTAGCAAAAATTATCCCGGCAAAGCAACCTAACAGCGATGTGTAGAAGCATATCTGAAAGCATTCCCCTTAAGATTCAGATGAAAATCCAGTTGTCGAATTCTGCTGTTCTCGCAGTCGTAGTCGCATTCGCGATGACAGTCGCAGCGGCAACGGCAGTCGCAGTCACAGCCTCAGCCTGCCTCCTCCTCCTCTTTCTCCTGCTCCTCCTCCTCCTCCTCCTCCTCCTCCTCTTCCTCCTGCTCGTCCTCGTTCTCGTCCTCCTCGTCTTGCTCGTCCTCCTCCTCCTGGTGCTCTCTCCTCCTCCTCCTCCTCCTCCTCCTCCTCCTCCTCCTGGTGGTCCTCGTTCTCCTACTCCTGGTGCTCTCCCCCCCCCTCCTCCTCCTCGTCCTCCTCCTCCTCCTCCTCGTCCTCCTCCTCCTCTTCCTCCTCCTCCTCCTCCTCCTCCTCCTGGTAGTCCTCCCCCTCCCCTCCTCCTCCTCCTCCTACTCACTCCTCACCCTCACTCCTCATAATACATTTCCTGGTCGTCCTGTTCTCGTCCTCCTGCTATGTTTGCTGCGTCCCATCCTCCTTGTGTTCTCTCCTCCTCTCCTCCTCTCCTCCTCCTCCTACCTCCTGGTGGGTCCTCGTTGAGAAACATATTTGAAGCATTCCCCTTAGTTTAAGATGAAAATCCAGTTGTCGAATTATGCTGTTCTCGCAGTCGTAGTCGCATTCGCGATGACAGTCGCAGCGGCAACGGCAGTCGCAGTCACAGCCTCAGCCTCAGCCTGCCTCCTCCTCCTCCTCCTCTTTCTCCTGCTCCTCCTCCTCCTCCTCCTCCTCCTCCTCCTCCTCCTCCTCCTCCTCCTCCTCGTCTTGACTCGTCCTCCTCCTCCTGGTGCTATCTCCGCCTCCTACTCCTCCTTCCTCCTCCTCTCCTCCTCCTGGTGGTCCTCGTTCTCCTCCTCCTGGGTGCTCTCCCCCCCCTCTCCTCCTCGTCCTCCTCTCTCCTCCCCCTCCTCCTCCTCATCCTTCTCCTCCTCCTCCTCCTCTCTCATACTCTTCCTGGTGTCCTCCTCCTCCTGGGTCGTCCTCTGCCTCCTGCTCGTCCTCCTCCTCCTCCTGCTCGTCCTTCTTCTCCTGCTCCTCCTGCTCCTCGTCCTGCTCCTGCTCGTCCTCGTCCTCCTGGTCTTGCTCGTCCTCCTCCTCGTCGTGCTCTTGCCCCTGCTGAAAATGTGGCCCAGGAATGGGAGTTCTGGGAAGTCGAAGAGCACGAAGTTGCCTACAGTTGGGTACGGGCATTCAAAATGTGGCCCGGGAATGGAGTTTTGGGAACTCGAAGAGCACGAAGTGGCCTACAGTTGGCTCCGGGCATTCAAAATGTGGCCCGGGAATGGAATTCTGGGAACTCGAAGAGCACGAAGTGTGTGACTGTTGCATCCGGCCCTCCAGAATGTGGCCCGGGAATGGAGTTCTGGGAACTCGAAGAGCACGATGTGTGTGACTGTTGCATACGGCCCTCCAGAATGTGGCCCGGGAATGGCGGTCTGGGATGTCGAAGAGCACGAAGTGTGTGACTGTTGCATCCGGGTATTCAGAATGTGGCCTGGGAATGGAGTTCTGGGAAGGCGAAGAGCACGAAGTGTGTGACTGTTGGTGAAAAACGAGCCCGGCACCTGCCGCCCGGCAACTCCCAACACCTGCCCGGACCCCCCTGTGGAGTGATCTGCTGCTCTCTTTTGATCCCACTAGAAACCTATCAGTCTTCGCTGTTAGGTAACACATTATTTTGACGCTTCCAGCGCTTCCGACACGTGCGCGTTCGGGACCAACGCCTGGATCTGCGGGCCGTGGATTCTCCACGGGTTCACACTAGTCAGCTACAGCGTTGGGATCAGCGCGTGCGAGAAGGGCGAGCAGTGGCAGCGGGCGCTTGCGCTGCTGAGCGAGATGTGGGAGGCGAAGCTGGAGCCCAACGTCATCAGCTACAGCGCTGGGATCAGCGCGTGCGAGAAGGGCGAGCAGTGGCAGCGGGCGCTTGCGCTGCTGAGCGAGATGTGGGAGGCGAAGCTGGAGCCCGACGTCATCTCTACTACATTGCAGGGCCCAGTGCGTGCCAGAAGGGCGCAGGCTCAAATGTCTCAAAACCGCCCCAGGCTGGCCCCGGGCCGCCCCGGGCCGCCCAGGCAGGCTCCAGGACATGTCGGGAGGGCCCCCAGAAGCCCCCAAGACGGCCCCGGAGAGCCCCAGCACGCTTAAAGATGGGCCCAAGACGCCCGAGATTCGCCCCAGGCGGCCCAAGAGGCGTCCAAGACGCCCGAAGAGGCCTCCCAAGAGGCCTCCTAAGAGGGCCCCGAGCGACAGAAATCGTCGAGTTCTACTGTGTTTTTCGATGTTTTCGGCCTCCTCGCCTCTTCGGCTTCCCGACGCTCCAAGACGGCTCAAGAAGTCCCCCCGACCGCTCCAAGACGGCCGAAGAGGACCCCAAGAGAGCCCCAAGACGGGCCAGGAGGGCCCCCAGACGGTCCCAAGACGCCCCAGGATGGCCCCAGGACGGCCCAGGAGGCGCCCAAGACGGCCCAAGAGGCACCCAAGACGGCTCCAGGAGCGGCCCAAGACGGCCCAAGACAGCCCAAGAGGCGCCGAGGCGGGTCTCAGACGGCCCCAAGACGGCCCAAGAGGCACCCAAGACGGCCCGAGAGGGCCCTAAGAGCCCCCCCGGGAGGCCCAAAAGAAGGCCGAAGAGGCTCCGAAACGGCCCCCACGAAGCCTTCAGTGCCTTCAGAATTCCCTCAAGGAGCGGGGGAGCGGACGAGAGGCGACAGGCATATTGCAGGCAAAAACGCCCCAAGAGATCCCCAAACGGCCCCCACGAAGCCCTAAGTGGCCTCAGAATTGCTTCCAGGAGGGGGGGAGCGGACGAGAGGCGACCGGCATATCGAAGGAACAAAAGAACAATGTTGGACGCTCCGAGGGCCTTCGATGTTTCTCCGTTGGGGAGAGTCGTCGTAGGATCGACGATTGCCGACCGAGGGCAGCGAATCCAGTGGAGGCCCAAGAGGCCCCCAGGAGCCCAAAAGAGATCCCCAAGAGGTGCCACGGGGCTTAAAAACTGCTTCGAAGCGAGGGGGGCGGACGATGGGACCGCCTCAGGAGGTTTTGGACGGTTTTGGGCCTCAAAATCGTCCGCTTTACGACGGTTTTGGAAGGATTTTGGCCTTCTCGCCTTTTCCGCTTTCCGACGCTCGAAGCCGGCCCAAGAGGCCTCCAAGAGCGCCCCAGAACGGCCCAAGAGGTTTCCAAGAGCGCCCCAAGACAGCCCAAGAGGGCCCAAAGACGACCCAAGAGACGCTCAAGACGGCCCACGAGGGCCCGAAGACAGGCCCAAGAGGGGGCCAAGAGGGGGACCACGGACCGAAAA